CACAATGCAAACAAAGGGTCAGATAGAGTCTGAAAGCTGACCACATATCTGAGGCAAGGGGACGGAAAGGGGCAAGGACAAGTGAGGACAAGCACAATGGACTATTGTGGTGGCCTCTGAGTGCCCTGGTGGTGGGGGCACTATGGTAACTACACCTGAAAAAGAAGAATTCCAAATACCAACAACAATGTAAGCCAACAGCACTTCAATAAAAAAATTTAAACAAGCAAACAAACAAAACCACTGACACAATATTATATGTCAATTATATTGTAATAAGCTGAGAGGCAGGGAACGAGTTAAAATGAGGAAGGGCCTAAATCTAATGACTGTTAAGAATGGAGAGAGAGATCTGGACAGAGACTCTGGAAGAAGGCCATGTGAAGAAAGAGACATACTGAATTTACGTCACAAGGTAGGAATATCTGAAGCCACCAGAAGCCATTTGGGGCAAGGAAGGCTGTTCCCATGGAGCCTTCAAAGGCAGTACAACTTTGCTAACACCTGGATTTCGGACATCTACCGTCCAGAACTGTGAGAGAATAATTTCTGCTGTTTTAAACATAAAGCACTATATGTACTGCTTGGTTACAGCTGTCCCAGGAAACTAACATAGCTTTAGACATCTTGTAGCCAAAAGTAAGAAAATGCTCAGAGAATGATAGAGACTTATCAAGAACACACAGGAGTCACCTGAAGAGGCTCCCAGAGGCCAAATACAAAATGGTGTGAATGGATTATAACCCACTGAATAAAACAGAAATCCATGAGCATATACTGATAAAAACACATGAAGCCTGGGGGAGGCAACCCAACCATGAGTGAGCCTGAGTGTCCAGGAACACTCAAGGACAGGTCTGCCCACTCTACCTGGGCCATTTCTCAGGGATGTATGGGCAGTAAGCCCCCCAGGAATGAGGTCATGTCTTCCCAACCATGACAAAGAACCTCCACCTGTGAATGCTCAACGCTCAGTGCTCCTTCCTTAGAGCACATTCCACTGCATATGCAGGACTCCATCTAGGCCCACCTGCATGGTCCCTGTGGAACTGCAGGCAAACAAGAAACCAATGCAAATCAAATGAAGCTCATGCAGTTTGCCATGCCATGAATATTAAAGCCCTTTGGCTCAGACCCAGGAAGTCTTGTGCCTCTGCCAACATCTAAAAAACAGTAACAGCTAACATATTAGTTTGCAAGCAGGGTACAATCCCAGACCTTTCATAATTCTTGACAATGAATAAATAAATGGAGAGTAAAGGAAAGTCTATCCTTACAGTGGAATGCCAAATAATAAATGTAGAAGAAATGATGAAGTTAAAAAATTAATGAATGTTAAAACTAGCGGGTGATATCTAATTAGTAAAAGGATATTAACATAGCCTCAAAGGGGAAAATGGGAACTTTATACTAGCGAAAAAGATAATACCTTAACCAAGTGATCAAAGTTAACACAACCAATATTGGGAAAAACAGACATCATGTATCTCCTGGTATAGTGCAAAAGTATAGAAGGACACAATTCTGTGTCACTCCTCGTAGAAATTCATAATTTGAATCTAATCATGAGGAGACATTAAATAAGCCCAACTTGAGGGCTATGTTACAAAATAATTGGTCCATATCCTTTAAAAATATCACAATTAAAGAAAAAGAAAGACTGAAAAAAAGAAAGGTCTGCTCCAGATCAAAGGAGACTAAAGAGACATGACAACTAATGCAATACATGATGCTGGCTAGGATAATGAATCAGAATTTAAAAAAAATAACTGCGAAGGTATAAATATAAGTTCAACAGTAATATTAAACCAAGGTTAAATTCCTGATTTTGAGAAAGGGAACTACTGTACATTGTTGGTGGGAGTATAAATTGGCAAAGTCATTAGGGAAAATAGTATGAAGGTTCCCCATTAAAAACAGAGCTCCTATGGTCTCCTTGGTAGCCTACAGGTAAAGTCTCAGTGCTACCATCACAAAGGCCTACTGCGATGGCCTCAGTTCACTCCTCAACCAGGGAGCTAACCCAGAAATGGCGAAGCAGACCTCTCCTGTCTCACACGCTGCTCCCCTTAGCAGTGTATTTCAGTAAATCCACCTGTTCTGCTTCCTACTCTGTTTCTGGTAAATCCTTTCTCTCACACACACACCTCCTCATCTCTGGCCTACACTCCAGTTCTTATAAGCACAAATAAAAATAAAATAAATCTTTAAAAAAAAAACAAAAACAGAGCTCCTGAATGATCCAGCAATTCCAGTTGAGGGTATATACCAAAAGAAAATAAAGTAGTATCTTTAAGAGGTTATTTGTACTTTCATGTTCATGGGAGCATAATTCATAATAGGCAAGAAATGGAAACAACCTAAGAGTTTTACGGATGAATTGACAAAGAATTGTTGGTGCCCCAGTCATATGCCCCATAACAACATTTTGGTCATTGATGGACCACATATGTGACAGAAATATAGGTTCAGTGTGTATTATCTAGGTTTGTGTAAGTACACTCAATAACAATTACACATTGATGGAATCCCCTAGTGAGGTAGTTCTTATAAAGTAATTCCATTGTTAAGTGACACATGACTGAGTGGGATACCACTCAGCCCTGGGAAAGAAGGAAATCCTGTGACTGGATTTATGGTAACACAGACGAACCTAAAGAACATTATGCTAAATGAAACAGGCCAGACAAAAGGACAAACAAAATCTAAAAAATAAAAAAGTCAAACTCAGAAAAGCAGAGAGTAGAAGGGTATTTACCAGGGTTGGAGAAAATGGGGAGAGGTTAGTCAAAGGTTACAAAGTTACAGTTGTGTAGGATAAGTAAGTCTGGAAGTCTAAAGTAGAGACATGTTGCCAACAATTAATAACACAGTGGTGAATACTGGAAATATGCTGGGAGAGTAGCTAGCAGGTGGCCTCATCACAGAAAAAAGAAATGGTAACTAATTGTGTAGATGAAATATTAACTAGCTTGACTATAATAATCATTTCACTTTGTAGATCAGATCATCACACTGTATGACTTAAATATATATAATTTTAATTTTAATGTATATATACATGTAGTATCTTGCAAATATCCTGAGCCCAGGGATTTTAAAAGAACTCATAACACACACAAAAACAAAATCTCAATTTTTGATAATTAGGTGTAGTTATATAAGAGAAGGTTGTTGTTCTTAAGAAACATTGAAGAATTTAATGGAAAGGGATATGATGTCTTCAACTTACCTGAAATGACTCAGAAAAACCTCTTGTTATGTGTGTGTATGGATACATATATGTGTGTAGGTGAACAAGGAATGCTAAAGCAAGCATAAGCAATTGATGAATCTAGATTAAGGTCACGAGAAGTTTCTTGTACTATTCCTGAAACTTAAAAGAAATTATATCAAGTATACATTAATGTATTGTTGTTCAGTTACTAATAAATACATTAGTTAATAATAATGTATTACATACTTGAAATTTGCTAACAGAAGAGTCCTCAAGTGTTTTCACCATACACACGCAAAAAAAATCCAAAGCATGGCAATTATGAGAGCAGACTGGGTATGTGCATTGCCTTGTGATAATCATTTCATAATGTATACAATATATCAAAACATCACTTTGTACACCTTAGATATAATTTTAATTGTCAAAAATAAATTTCAAAAATCATATCAAAATAAAATCCCCCCTCCTCCCATCAAAAAATCCAAATAAGGCAAAAAATTGCCTTGATTTGTATTAGATTTTCAACAACATACTCTTGAGTTAAGATGAAACATAACAGAAAACACAGACAAAGGGTTGCATTTTAAAGCACTGTTCCCTTTATACTTCAAGATACCATGTAGCTTTGATTTAAAAACTATATTTGGGGCCTCTCTGGTGGTGCAGAGGTTTTAAGTCTCAGCACTATCAAGCTATCACCAGCCACTGGCAGTAGACCTCCCCTGTCTTGCCCCGCTGCTCCCCTGAAGCAGTGTATTTCAGTAGATACACCTGCTCTGCTCCCCACTCTGTCTCTGATGAATCCTCTCACAAACCACCTCCACACACCTCAGGTATATACTCCAGCTCTTGAATGCATAAATAAATAAAATCAATTTAAATAAATAAATAAATAAACAGCAACCCCACCTTTATGCAATTCTTTGTAGATGTTCTCTAATGTCTAAATAAATGGCACATTCAAGTGAACAATACCCAATGCTTCCTAAGTCCAAAGTAATCTTTCTATTATATTCCCTAGCACCTCAATTATTATTTTATACTATTATCATATTTTTGATGTTTTGTCTGTTCTAATATTCTTTAAACTGCGTAAGGGGAGAAAGCCTGTCTTATTCCTATCTTATCCCTGTCAATAAGCACTTCGTACTTGCACAGAAGGTACTCATAAAAAAAGACAAATTTACCATTTCTCAAGGTAAGAACGATAAACTCAAACTCTTTCAAATTATGAAATGAATTGAGTTTTTATATGACTGAAATTATTATGCATTTAAAAATCCTCTACGGGGCCTCCCCGGTGGCGCAGCAGTTGAGTGCTGGGTTGCAAAGCTGCCAGCAGCCTCTGCAGCGCCGGTTCGATCCCCGGCTGCTCCCCGGCCACCGGAGGAGGGTCCCACATGGCGCGCAGACCTCTCCTGCCACCCGCTGCTCCCCTCAGTAGTGTACTTCGGTCCTTCTGCCTGCTCTGCTCCCCTCTCTGGCTCTGGTGAATTCTCTCACCCTCCTGCACCTCTGACTGTACCCCAGTGCATGTATAAATAAATAAAAATAAATCTAAAAAAAATAAAATAAAAATAAAAATCCTCTACAATTCAGAGTTCCAGTATTCACAGCTGGTTATGTTACTACTTAAGCAATAGTAATTTTAGATAAATATTGCAAGAACTTTATAATCTTGAGTTTAGAAAATAAAATTTTTAGAATGCTATTTAAGCCTAAGTCTAGTTTTAAACATTTGTTTCAGAGAAGGATGATAAGGTGTTACATTAGGTCTTACCTGAGGATTCCAACCTGGATCTAGTTTTTTAACTACCGCGATATACTCCTGCATTGCTTGGCTGGGGCTTGAATCACCAAGTGCTTTCCATGCTTCCCTGAAATACAAGAACATCCAAAATGATCATGAGCTATGTAAATAACATAAATAGCACATTCCTTATTAAAAAAAATACACATTGTAAGGTGTGGGTATGTGCATATAAAATGTCAGACAATACCCCTTTCTTTTTGCATTTATACTTGTCTTATCATCCCACCTAACGAGTCTTTTTAGACATGTTTTTCCTAATTACCCAACCCCATGAAATTTTAATAACACAAACTAATTGCTTATCTGTTGGTTTTTGGAAGACCGCAAACCAATGTAATAGCTAAGATTTTGTAACTTCTCAAAACCCAAATTTCATCCTTGTTGAAACTATATGAGCTGCTTATGGCATTTCAGTAATGTAGAAATGAATCATCACACAAAATAATATTTCCTGGAAAATGCTTAAAACTTTTTACTTAAGATGTAAGAAAGACACCTTCCCCTTCTGCTTTTGTCTCATCAATAAGTTGCTAGTAGTGGATCCAGAGGCCTCAGGAAAGGACTTTAAGGGTAAGGAGTGATAAGGACAGAGAAGAATATTAGTGAATAAGAAGTAGGAACAAGCTGCAGTTTAAATACCAAGTGCAGGGTCTCCCTGGTGGGCCTCTCTTCATAAGCACTGCACTATGAAGCAATTCACAGCCTCTGCAGCAAGAGTTCGATCCCTGGCAGGCCAGGGAACAACCTACATGGAGCAGCAGACCTCTCCTGTCTTGCCTGCTGCTCCCCTCAGCAGTGTATTTCAATCAGTCTGCCTGTTCTGTTCCCCACCCTGTCTCTGGTGAATCCTCTCACCACCCCACACCCCAGCATCTCTGGCCTGTACCCCAGCTCTTGTATGCATAAATAAATAAATAAATAAATAATAGGGTGGGGGAAGCAAATATTATTTAAAAATGAACAATGATGTACAAAATAAAAATGGAATGTAAAAATAATTAAATAAATAAATACCAAGAGTATTATTTTAGTCCTAGCCCCCTTCTGGGTTGTCTTTTTCTTCTTTTCTGCAATTTGCCAGGATAGGCTTCCTTTCCCTGCTAATTCTTTCTACTCCTAATGAGGATCTACTGTAAAAACAGAACACAGCCCCACAGCTTTTCACTGCCTTCAGTTCCTATGATGAATATAAAATCTTTCTGAGGTTTTCTAAATTCATTTTTTACACAATATCTTAAGAGTTAACTATACACACATCATAACACTACCCCTCAATATAACAATCTATATCAAATTACAGAAATTAAAATTTAATGGTATGATACAAATACATGACCCATATTCAAATTTCCTTGATTTCTCAATGTCCTTTATAGTTTGCTTCTTCAGACCGGTAGCCAATCAAGATTCACACATAGCATGGAGTTTCATGTATCCTTAGTCCTTTCTTGTCTTCCATAATATTGATATTTTTTTTAGTCCAAACCAGTCATTTTATAAAATATCCCTCAATTTAGATTTGTCTGATCATTTCCTCACCTACAAAATGTTCTTGCCAAAATTTTATGGAATCATAATTCTAAAATAAATTATGGGGGCCTCCCTGGTGGCGCAGGCGGTTGAGTGCAGTACTGTGAAGCTGTCCGCAGCCTCTGCAGTGCGGGTTCGATCCCTGCCGGCCTCGGAGCAACCCACATGGTGAGCAGACCTCTCCTGCTGCCCGCTGCTCCCCTCAGCAGTGCATTTCGTCACTCTGCCTGTTCTGCTCCCCGCTCTGTCTCTGGTGATTCCTCTCACCCTCCCGCGCATCTGGCTTGTACCCCTCCTCTTGTATAAATAAAAAATAAACGTAAAATAAATCATGATTAAAATAAGGTCAAACATTTTGGCAAGAATGCCATCTAGATGGCATTTCCTTTAAAATGCCTCACATCAGGGGGCACATGATATCAGTTCATCCCTCATCAATAAGATTGAAGATCTATTAACAGGAGCATCTGCAATTTCCTTGTTTGCAATTAGTAAGAAAATCTTAGGTCACGGTTGGGTAAACATCGTTCTCCAGTATTTTTTATCTAATGGTTTTAGCATCCACTGATGATTCATTAGTATCCTCTAATGAGCCTAGGTTATTATTATAGTGGGTGTAAAATCTAGACATTTTTAAATTGCTGAAAACAAGAAAAAAAAAAAAGCAGGCAAGCATAGGGGAAAATAATGAAGCTATAAAATGTCATAAATTAAAGTAGAAAACTCACAAAAATTGTTACATCAGGTCTTTTCTATAACAAATAAAGTGCCAGAGAACTATTTCTTATCGGTAAGGAAAAGTTACACCAGAATGTAAATCAAAGCACTGCTTTCTTCACTGAGAATGTGCTATACTGTGCACTTACAGACATAACTGCTTTTCATTTAGCTTCGAGCTCGGCTTACCCTTACAGTTGAGTAACAAACAGTTCCTAGAGAGGTACTTTGTCCAGGGACCACACTTTGAGAAGCACTGCTCTCAGATATAAAGCTAGAACTTATCCTTTAGCAATTTCTTCACTCTACAACTTATTTCATCTTTTTCCTTTTTTAACGCCATCCTCTATCCTTTTGATGCCAGAGCTAATGCTTCAAATTTACAACGATAACGAAGGTTTCCTGTTTTATATGCCTTTTTTTCCCCTCACTTAAATAAGGTATGAGAAAATAAGTTTTCATATAATAAGAGGAAACTCTGGGTTATAGCTGAAAAAGTTTGGAAAGGTATAATGTTTTTATGTATTCAGGAAAGCAGACTCGGTATCTGTGTTGGGGTTTTTTTTTTTTTTTTTTCCCCCTCCTCCGTCTCAAGAGGTTACGATAAGTATTTCTTTTTCTTTTTTTTTTTTTTACTATAAGTATTTCTTTACTGTGGTGTGGATGGGAGCACGGAAAGGAAGAGCACTGAGGGCAGGAGCTAAATCAAAGCAGTGAAAAAAGGAGCTTTGCCCTCCCCATCCTCACAGCTTTCTTCCAAGGATTCCTTCAGAGGAGAGAAGGCATGGCCTCGCCGGGTGGTATGACAGAAAAGGAAAATTTCCAGCAACAATTCTTTCTTAGTTACTAAAAAGCGATTCACATGTAATATATGTCTGTTCTCAACTACTTATGTACCAACAACATGGCATAAGAATCTCTTTAGGAGATTTAGTTAAAAGCGGATTCTTTTAATCTCTCCCCAATTGCCTGTCATTAGCACAGTCTATAGCAAAAGGAGATTAATATAAAAATAATTCTTTAATCTGCTCACTACTTTCTAATTCCTACACACCTAAACCATTCCCAACAACCTCACTATATCCGAAGAATTTCTTACCATTTTTGCTTTCCTTCAAAGTCAAAGAAGCTTGGTTTAGGAGTATTGCATTTTCCAACTTTGACCTAAATGAAGGGGGGAATGGGTGAATTAAGAACATATTTTTCAAAGACATGCAGAGAAACTTTTGATTTTCAAATTTATTATGCATACTTACTATTGGCCAGGAAATATTTGCATCTATATAGAATTAATATTCATTACATAAGCAAAAATTTTTAAACACAGTCTACTGTGGCATATCATCTAACACTACAATATATAAAAAATATGGGTAACAAACAGCTGGGTTTCTAAATAATAGACAAATAAAATATAAGATAAATATATATATATTATGCAATTTATTACCAGTTATATAATACAGAAGAACTTTTAAACATGCAATAAATAAGCTTCAAGTTCAGTATCAGAATTCATAATGCTGATAACTTCTGCTGATTTTCCATAACACTATTAGTATTTGACCTCTCCCAAATTCCAGAATAGCACATACACTTTTTAAAGTATCCTTGTAGAGATTTAATCAATAAAATTTGCTGCAAAAACAAAAAAATTTCAAAAGTTTCTCAACAACAGCAATATAAATTCTATCCCACAGCAATCTTCTCTTGTTTTTTGTCACTACTTATTTTTAATCCTCAAAGAACATCTGTGGTTAAACTAACAGCAATTATGCATAAGTGAAATTTGCATAATGTGACTGATACCTATCTATTTCAACATGCAGCCTGATTTCTGCAGCCAGAAGGTATCTCCCTTTTTTAGGAACTCCCACAGCATTTACTGTATGTATTTCTGATCACACTTTCTATTTTACCTTGTCATAGAAAGTTTTATGTAAAGTCTCATCTTTTTATTAGAACACAGCCTCTAAGAAAGCTCCCTTAATTCACTCACTACTAATACCATGCCTAACTTAAGGTAACAAAAATTTTCATTGAATAAAGAATATATTAGGTATGTGTTCAACAAAATACCTATTTTCCCTTTCTTATGAATCCCCACAGCACTTGAACCCAATCCACTTCTCAGGACCTTTCCACCACGTCTTACTACTCTTACACTCTTAGATTTTGTTAATATCAAGCTAATGCCATCATTTAACCCACTGATCTACTTGTTGCCTTAGGGACTTTTATTCTAAGTTTTGCTCTTATTATCCTTTCTACCTGAAAGGAACAATATGGAACCTTTTGCTTTTACTTCTTCCATCAACTTTTCACAATGCTTTTAGCCCCACTCAAGTTTCAAATACGAAGAGCCCTTTCCATCCACAGAGAGCTCAGTCTGAGCTCATTTATAACAATTATCTGAATTCTCAATAATTATCATCTCTACCATTTGCTTAACAATTAGTCACATAGTAAAGTCTGGTCACTAGTAAAATGTATGCACAATTGGACAGGAACAGCCCTGCTATGATAGGACAGAGAAGAGCAGGAGCTGCACTTTCTGAACAGTCATCACAAACCAGATGCTTCACATATGTTAAGTCAAATGAGCCACACGATAATCTTGGGAGGTGTGCCATTACCTTTCAAGAAAAGTATTCTATTTTATATTATACTATGTTATTTTTATAAAATGCCTTTTTTTAAAGAACTATAGAAAGTTGAAGAAGGTGCCATAGCTCACAAACTGGTAAATCCAGAATTCATAATTGGGATTTGAATCCAAAGTCCAATATTTCTTCACCACATTGTTTTATAAGCTGCCTAGGCTCTTGGCTTCAGCTTTAGCATCTTTAAAATCATTTGAACTACTGGACTATTAAAAATTTGAAATTATATAAACTATTAGACATAAAACAACAGTTATTAGCATTTTTGGTTTTTAGTCAGACACCAGGAAAAATTCCAATATCTGCTCGCCATTTCTCCTACAGAAATAGAATTATCAGATGGACACACATGGTCATCCAGCTACACATCACATGTAGCCATGCAACTCTAACCCAGGTTGGGGGACTGGATAAATAACTTCCTTAAAAGAAAGAGGGACTGTCTTTCCCCTTCCCTTTCCCTTTGTCCTGGCTAGAACATGTATGTGGTGATGGTGAGCCATCTCTGGCCATGGAAAGAAAAGTATTTCTCCAACTTTTTGGTCTTAGAAATTGAGGACTCAAAGGAGCCAACATAATTCAGTATGCAGAAGGGCTCTGTGTGTACCGCCACCCCATTTCATCACACAATGTCAAAAAATATTTGTACTCAAGAGTTGATATTTTTTAAGTGAAGGTGGTGTTTTATTTTACTCTGAGTACAGGGCATTAAAAAAAAATAGGAGTACAGTTTGCTGCCACTACCTTGATTGATGCTAATGTATCAACAGTTATATGCACCATGACAGCACAGAATAAAAGACAAATAGTGTCTTACTATTATTATGAAAATAGTTTTGACCTTACATATCTCCTGAGCTAGTCACAAGGATAATTTGAGAACTGCTGCCTTGGGGAAATGAGAGAGCTACAGGACAGGTAAAGTCTAAGTCCTTGAACGACCTCACGTCAGCCCTATATCACCTACCTCTGGAGCATTATGTGAGATGAAAAGAAAAGTCCAGGGGGGCTTCCCTGGTGGCCTATGGGTTAAGTCTCAATGCTATCACTGCTGTGGCTTGAGTTCAATCCCCAACCAGGGAGCTAACCCACATATGGTCAGCAGTCTCCTGTCTCGCCCACTGCTGCCCTCAGCAGTATATTCAGTTAATCTACCTGTGCTGTTCCCCGCTCTGTCTCTGGTGAATCCTCTCACCACCCACACCTCTGGCCTGTACCCCAGCTCTTGTATGCATAAATAAATAAATCTTTAAAAAAAAAAAAAGATGATTTTGGAGCCACAGGTTTATCAGAGACTAAAAGAGCTATTGTGTTAGGTGGGTTTCAGTATACCTCAGGAAATAAGGTTCATATCTCAGTTTATTTTTACTGTCTTCCTGCCAAGAACCTTACTTCATTCAACCTGTAAAATAAGAGTGCAATTCAGAATACAAAATGGAATTATTTTATGAAATAAAAGTTTGATCTGCCACACAGATCAGTTTTGAACTTTTAGATTTATTACTGAACTTTCAGCTTTATTATTGTATCAAAGGTGCTATTTTTAACAGTCTCAGAAATCTGTTGAAAAGAAAGTATTTAGGAAAGACTGATGAAACCTATGTCCAATGTCACATTTATGCAAGCATAACCTTATTCTCTCAAATTGAAGAATTTTGTTTTCAAATACAGAATATCTCTAAACACACTAACATCAAATTTTTGAAAGGGTGAGGGGCAAGACTCCTTATGGACTACCTGAATGAAATAAGTATACTTGAGACCAAATGGTTGGTTGCCCAGTAATGACTTGGAAATCAGATACTTAATAATGATGATGCTAATATCAACAAGTAAAGATATGACTCAGAAAGGAAAAGAATGTTCTCTAGGGAATTTGGAGAAAACTAGCCTTATACCATCCATCAGTCAGACATGTTACATTCCTAGCACAACACTCAACAAATGCTTGTTAAATAATCAAAAACCTCGTTTTAAAATGATCGGCACTGGGCCAATAGTCAAAGGAAAAACAGATATCTAGAACTTTGACTAGAAAGCAAATTCCAATGCCAATTAGGGGCAATTTTCACTCAATACATGAATTATACCATTTGTACCTACAGTTATATATCTCAATGACATTAACTGATAGTCATCAATCTGCAAAAAAATTTCATCTCCAATCAGTAGTTTCAATTTAAGAATACAAAGGCCCCACACCACCACCACCACCCACACACAACTATTTCTTTTTTTTAATGCAGGGAGTAAGCATAGGACAGAAGAAAAAACAAAGTTATAAATTTTGTAATAAAATAAACTGGGTTATTACTGAGAACTCCATTGCCTCTAGTGTTCTAAGGAGCTGGAGTTTTCCTGACCTGTTATTTAACTTATATTGTGAGCAATTTTTCACATGCTTCAATGTAGACTTCTCAAGTAACTTTATGAGTCTTGAAGGCAAATTATCATGATGCTTCTGTTTCTTTGCCTTTCCTGCTAGCATAAGACCCAAGGATTTTGCACATAAAAGATGCTGAACAAGTATTTGTTGACTATGATAAGGCAATTCTCCTTTTGCTACCTAGCCAATGACACTTTGAATGATGTAAAAATACCTCATTCCATATTTTCAGGTAGAGTTCAGAGCCTCATGAGTCGCCAGCTCCAAGCTAGCTCTAGTTTTAACTAATTTACCCGTATGACCTGTCGCAACCTATTTTTTTGGGGTTTACCTTTCATTTTCCTTAAGAGAAGGGAGTTATTTCATCTGGGGTTTACTAGCTCTGAATTTGTTTATAAAAATTGGATTAGCTATGACTAATCTAATCCAATTAGATACAACTATCTAACACGTTGAAACATATTCAGTAAAAAATTAGATCTAAAATATTTAGGATTTTTTAAAAATCACGAAAAATTTGTATTTTATTGGTATTACATCTCCTGAACACAATCATATTATTCCCCTGGATCGTAAAATATTTTAACATTACCGTATTTACTTCCCTTTGGCAAGTGTGAATGACAAATTTTATCACCCTCATGTGGGAAAGGTTCTGACGCTAGTAAAAGCATCTGTGCAAGGTCATTGAGCAAATCAGGGAAGACACAGAAAAAGTGTCATTTAATATCCAATTAAATATCACTCCTAGGCTAGCAGAAAGGTCCTTTCCATGACCAGAATGATGCTAATCCTTAGGAGATGACTAAGAAACACACACACACACAAACTTCATTCCACCTAGCCATTAACCCTGCACGTTTGCTGTTAGTCTCTGGAGGAAGAAGGAGGCCCCTCCCGGGTCGCTCTCCCGCATCCATCCCGTCCCAGGACTGTACCTGCTTGTACCGGGCATACAGGTACAAGAGCTCCTCCCTGCTGGCCACCTGAATCAGGCCTTGGAGGTGCGCTGCCGCCTGCTCAAACAGCTCGGCCAGGCTGCCGGCTGCCTCGGTCTCGGGGCTCTGAAGGGATTCCACATCACCCGAGTCGTCCCCCGAGCTCAGCTCCCCGCCGCTATCACCGGTGGTGGCCCCGGCGGGCAGGAATGGCGAGGCCATGTGTCCTTGCTCGCTCCGTCCCTCTCCGTCCGCTCGGCCCGGCTCCGATCGGGGTAAAGCCGCGTCGGGGGCCTGGTCCACCAGTTTCGGTCCTGAGCCCCAGCCCGAGCCGGACCCAAGCGCACCCCGCGCGCCCTCACCCAACTCTGCCTCCCTCCCACTTCCACTTCCCGGGCGCGCGGGCGGGCTCCGCTGGCCGCGGCCGCTCTCGCCTGGACTTCGGGCTTCCTTCGGACTAACAGCGATCGGGCTCGCCGGGGGGCCTCCAACGGCGCGGGGGTCTAGGGGCCCCGGCGCCGGGAGTGCGGGAGCGGGCGGCGGGGGCGGGGCGGCGGGGGCCGGGGGGCGGGCACGGGAGCGACGTGCGCGCGGGGCCGTGCGCGCCTGAGAGCGCGCCCGAGCGCGGGCCCGGCCTGGGGAGCGTGGGCGGCGCTAGGCTGGGCGCCCCTCCCGCCCGGGGGAGGGGGGGGCTCGCGGGGCCGAGCTGGGGAGACTCTGCGAGGGGAAACTGTCGCTCGTCGTTGGGGGTGTCCGTTCACCGTTTGGCTGAAATTACTAGTCACAAACTCTGAAGCTTTCCTCAGCCCAGGCCTTAGGGGCGGGGGAAGGAGGCCGTCTATTAGGGAGTGTAGCGATGAGAACAGCGTCGCGGGAAACACGGAGCTGAAGACTAAGGTTCCGCCTCCTGGAGCTTGTGTTCCGGGCGCCCCCCCCCCACACACACACACCCCCCACCCCACCCCCGAAATACTTGGGATCCCTGCACGCTTCGGATTTGTTGCTTCAGAATCTGGTTCCAACTTGAGTAAGCAATGAAAAACTCGGAGATGGGGGCTTCACGTCCCAAACTGTGTGATTAACTGGTCGAAAGACTTCTGTCTTGCTTTGCTCTGCCTTGCTGAACCCCCACCTCTTGGGGCACTGAAAATAGGCCTCACAGGTACCCCATCACCTGTATCTCCCCAAATCAGCCATTGCCACTATGCTTTGCGGACGCTGTAAAGAGAAACTAAGAACATAGTTTTCTCATAAAGGAACAAACTACAAACAATTTAACATGATTATAATAGTTGCCACTACTGAGTGGTTATTATGTTGTAAGTGTTGCTTAAAAAAAAGTTCATTTGTTCAAAACACCTTGTACTGCCACGAAGACACAGTGCAGGTTCTCTGTGCTTTGGGCAGACGGGTGAAGGAGAGTTCTGAAGCCCTTGGTGGCTTTTTTATTGAGTTTTTTACATGATTTGCATTGTGGCAACCAGGGGAGGGCGGAGGGGTAGGTAGGAGGCTGGCAGGGCTTTGGGCCGCTAGCAAATCTTCACTCTTTCTGGGATCTCTACGTTCGCTCGTGGTTTCTGTTTCTCTGCTACTGCTGTTGCTACCGCTCTGGTTCTTTGCCCGCTGCTGTTGCCGTTCTGTGATGCCGTCCTTACAGGCCCAGCCTCTCAGCCCAGGTGTGCCCACTTACACCTGTCCACACCCTATTCCAGGTGTCCGCTGTCAGGCACACGTGTAAGAAGAACACAGGTGTGGACCTTAACCACCAATGTCAGGAGGGCAGAAAATCCTGACAATTTCCATTTACCCTACATACCCATAATAACACCATCAGAATGGTACAAAGAATGTATTCTAAAGAATGGTTATTGACCATTCTTAACCATTGACCATTATTAACTTGGGGTTAGGTTTTAAGGTGAATAGGGGAGAAGGATATACAGCATGTGAAAACAATGAAAAAATGGTGGTGAGATGAGAGGGCTTGGTCAGTAGTCGATAAGTATTCCTTGAATACCCAGAATGTGCCACTGTTAGTAATCCCTGCTTCTAATCACTAACAATCCAGTTAAGGGATGGCTGATGAACACATTGTTGCAGTTAAAAAGCTATATTGAATCTCTTACTGTCTAAAGTAATTAATCATTACTGCTTAAGGTAGGTACAGTTAATTACACTTTATACATTAAAAAATCAGAACAGTGGCTAAGTAAATTGCCCAAAGTCACACAAGAAGAAGCAAGGAAAAAGTCAAAGTTGTACATTGTTTTGGTCTGACGATAGCCTGCATATGAGGTAACAATAATAGACAATGAATCTGAAGTGTAGATTGACGGGAAGTCACATGGACCTCCAATGTAAGGAAATCTATCATCTTGATAGCTACCTGTGGCGTGGAGGTGTAATATATATATTCACCACTTGATGGCAGCATAGAGCGAAGTTTGTTTTCCGCCGTGTGAAATCTTCCTGGATTATCTTCCTTTGGGTTTTATGTTTAGGAAAGGTAGAGACTGTTGGCTGCTAGGGTATGCCAGGGTATCTGTAACAATTGTTTATGTAATTATCTCTTTATTTTTTCTTTTCTGGAATATTTGGGAGTTAACATTTTTATCACTCCCAAATTCTTATGCCTCTCCCCTTTTCCCAAATATTTTAAATTTAAAAATTGTATACTAAACCTACAGACTAGGGGGCATCCCTGGTGGCACAGTGGTTGATGTCTTGGGGCTGTCAAGCTATCATTAGCTACTAGAAGTAACCAGCAGGGAGCTAACCTACATGGCACAGCAGACCTCTCCTATCTCTCCTGCTGCTCCCCTCCGCAGTGTATTTCAGTAGATCTGCCTGTTCTGCTCCCCACACTGTCTCTAGTGGGTTCTCTTACCCCCCACACACACATATAACTCTGGCCTACACCCCAGTTCTTCTATGCATAAATAAATAAATCTTTTTAAAAAGAATTGAAGGTAATGTGTTGCTGAGGGTACAGCAAGAAAGGAACTCTCATTTTCACAGATGGTGGGAATGTAAATTGGTGAAGACCCTATAGAAAATGGTATGGAGATTCCTTAACCATCAAAAACTGGAAATACCATCCAGCCAGCAATACTTCTCCTAGGTAATTTTTTTTTGGGGGGAGGATTTTCAGAAGAAATCTTTTGTTTCCAAAGTGATTTTTTAATTATTTTTTTATTTTAATATTTATCATTTTTTACATTTTTTAGACATTATTTGCTTCCCCCAACCCATTCAGATTGACTCCCCATAGAATTTCCTTCCCCAAGGCACCCATGCACCATCACCACAGTCCCCTGTGCTCCCCCTCCCTCCCTCTCTCCCCTCTCCCTCCTCTTTCCCTGCAGTATGTCTCTGGTTTATAATTGTCTGTTTTTGCTTTGTTGTGTTTTGTACTGTCACCTTTTTTTTTTATACTGATGTCTTATTTGGTTCCCTTATATTCCTGTTATAAGTGAAACCATCTGATATTTTTCTTTTTCCTTCTGGCTTATTTCACTGAGCATAATTCCTTCTAGCTCCATCCATGTTGCTGCGAATGGCATGAGTTTATCTTTTTGATATCTGAATAATATTCTATTGTGTATAGGCACCACATCTTCCTGATCCAGTCATCTATTTTTGGGCATTTGGGTTGTTTCCAGGTTTTACCTGTTGTAAATAGTGCTGCAATAAACATAGTTGTACAGGTGCTCTTTTGAATTACTGTTATTGTGTCCTTTGGGTAGATCCCTTCTCCTAGGTAATTTGTGTGAAGAATATGAAAACATGAATTCAAAAAGATTTATGCATCCCTCTTCTCACAGCAGCACTATTCACAATAGCAAAGACATAGAAATAACCATCCACGGATGACTTGGTAAAGAATGTGTGTATATACGCATTCATGATAAAAGCCCTTGAAATTCTTGGGATACAAAGAACATACCTCTACATCATAAAGGCCATCTATGACAAGCCAACAGCCAGTATCATTCTCAATGGTGAAAAGCTGAAAGCAATTCCATTAAGATCTGGAACAAGACAAGGATGTCCACTCTCACCACTGCTCTTCAATATAATACTGGAAGTCCTAGCCAGAGCAATAAGACAAGAGAAAGACATCCAAGGAATCCAAATAGGAAAAGAAGAAGTCAAACTATCACTATTTGCAGATGATATGATAATATACATAGAGAACACCAAAAACTCCACAGAAAAACTAATTCAACTCATCAATCAGTTCAGTAAAGTGGCAGGATACAAAATCAACACGCAAAAGTCAGTAGCCTTCCTATACACAAACAATAAATCTGAAGAAGAAGAAATCAAAAAAACCATCCCTTTTATTATTGAAACAAAAAAATCAAATATTTGGGAATAAATCTAACAAAAGAGGTAAAGGACCTATACAAAGAAAACTATAAAACACTGTTAAAAGAAATAGAAGAAGACACAAAGAAATGGAAAGACATCCCCTGCTCATGGATTGGAAGAATAAACATTATTAAAATGGCCATCCTACCAAAAGCAATCTACAGATTCAATGCTATTCCAATCAAAATTTCAATGTCATTCTTCAAAGAAATAGAACAATTATTGATGAAATTCATATGGAATCACAAAAAACCCCGAATAGCCAAAGCTCTCCTGAAAAAAAAAGAAGGGAATGGAGGCATCACACTCCCAGACTTCAAACTCTACTACAAAGCCATAATCATCAAAACTGCATGGTATTGGAACAAGAACAGACATACAGACCAATGGAATCGAATAGAAAATCCAGAAATAAACCCACAGATTTATGGTCAACTAATCTTTGACAAAGGAGCAAAGAATATGCATTGGAGCAAAGAAAGTTTGTTCAATAAATGGTGCTGGGAAAACTGGGTCGCTACATGCAAAAGAATGAAGCTTGACCACTACCTCACACCATACACAAAAATCAACTCAAAATGGATTAAAGAACTAGACATAAGACCTGAAACCATAAAATATATAGAAGGAAATATAGGCGAAACACTACGTGATTTGCACATCAAAGACATCTTTACAGACACATCACCCAAAGCAGTGATAGTGAAGGCAAAGATAAACAGCTGGGACTACATCAAATTAAAGAGCTTCTGCACAGCAAAAGAGACAATAACAAAAACAAAGAGAAACCCCACCAACTGGGAGAACATTTTTGCACACAACACTAATGATAAAGGACTGATCATAAAAATCTGCAAAGCGCTGATGAGACTCAACAACAACGAAGAAAATAATCCCGTCAAAAAATGGGCAGAAGAGCTAAAAAGAAACTTCTCTGAAAAGGAAATGCAAATGGCCAACAGGCATATGAAAAAATGTTCAACATCACTTGTCATCAGGGAAATGCAAATCAAAACTACCATGAGATACCATCTTACACCAGTGAGAATGGCACATATTAAAAAAACTAGCAACAACAAGTGTTGGTGAGGGTGTGGAGAAAAAGGAACTCTTCTGCACTGTTGGTGGGAGTGCAAAC